GGCCCAGGAAAACAATTTCACAGTAAAACACTGTCGGCTGTGGCTGTGGGTGAGGATAAATACTGCATACACACGAAAGCTAATTATATACGTATATATATCTAAAATAACTAGAGAGAGGAATATTGCATGTGCGAAAGCAATCATCCTTGCCTGTCCCTACATCAACAAGAAAACGGGAGCTTAATTATTTTAAGTAAATGAAACTAATGGACATGGTAACAAAGATATTTAAGTAAACTATAAACCAGGGCAGAAAATTAAACTAGACCAGAACGGAAAATAAACTAGGAGAATTTAATGCAACGTTTACTCGAGACAAGTTTTTTTTAGATAGCTCACCATCCATGCTGAATGGTTGCGTCTGGATTTTGGGTCACTATTGCTAATTGGGAAACCAGTGTTGTCACTATAGTACTCGTTGGGCGGTCACTCAAGTATCGTTACCTCTCAATTGCCGCTGGCAAAACGCAACCCAATTTTCTCCTCCCGTCAGTAGCGTCTCGCACTGTCGTGAAAGTGATTAAGGTCGGGAAGGCCGAGGCAGTGTGTTAGGTTCCATGGACAACCTTTACTTCCTAGATGAGATGTGCTCCTCTCAAGATACAAAAGTCTTATCATAAGAGGTCTATTGATTCATAAAAAGCACATCTATTTCCCATGTGGCCGGGAGGTTGGATGTCTCCAACAATGCCGGTGGATTGGACATCTGCAATCAGAAAGACAAAAACATCATAGAGGCAGCGAACAAGAAACAACAACCATGATCTAACTTGGTGTACTAGATTACGGTGACATAGACCAACAATGACATAAGTAAAGAGTACATTGCACTAAAATGGTTCAAGATTTATTACAATCCTTCACAAAGGGCGTGATAAGGAAGGAAGGCACAATTTTTAGAGGTGAACATGGTGATGAAAGTGACGATGGCGACCGTGAGGGTTGAATATGAATATATAGCCACATCCTTCATCTCTACTCTATTGGTTCTTCTCCTCAAATGAAAAAGTCGTCAAAGTGTTCCTTATCTCCCCACTAACCTAAGACATCAAACTCCACCCAAAATGGGGCCCTTGTTTTCTTGTCTATCCCGTGGCAGTACGAGCGCCGATACAATATCGATGCTCAACATTACTTCTGGTCATGCACTAGTTTGTTAAGTTCATATTTCAGTTCTAGATTTTGCATACCACCTTGGATTGAGATGATCCAAAAACGCAAAAGTTGTTTGACTTGAGGAGGCAAACGACTTTCACATTGAACACCTTTTCATTCAAGGTCATCTTGAGGACACTTCCTTGTAACTCACCAAATTCAACTCCAAGTTCACCTTTGTTTCACCCTAGACCAATTATCGTAGAAGTCCACGAGGGGTGTAATCCACATAAAAACCCTACAAATAAAAAAGAAAGATAACAAACTAAAATGGTAACAGTTGGTGGGGTAAACCAAGATAAACCTCAAGAATATCAAGGTTAAACTTAAAGAAAAGATGGGTGTCAAATACATCTAAACTAATTCAGTTTTAACATAACTTCAACAATATATAATTACTAGAGGACCTGACCATTTGTTGCTAGAGAGGTTTATATTTTTTAGGATCATTCCACCATTATTAATTTTGCTAAAAAGATTTAGATATATTGTAAAATTTCATCAGAAGTACAAAAGCACCTCAAACATAATAAAAGTTACATTGAAGTCTCTAGACTAAGGAACGACCACTAGCACCGCCAGAATGAGCCGTCGATGCGCCGCTGCCGCCACTCCCCAACAGGGGCCCGTTTGACCTTGCCGATGACAGCCTGAAAGTTTTTATGCACATCCCCTAAGGACCAACGTCCTGGGGCCTCAATCATTGTCGTTGAACCCTTAAATAGATCGGAAGTAACATATACCGAATCTCTCCATCACGCCTGCATGACGAGAAACCCTAGCCTCGCTGCCTATAGGAGACGGCAGGAGTCTACGCCAAAGCTCTGTCGACCACGTCCAGATGGACAAAATGGAGGAGGATCGGAGCTAAAAGATAAACTCAAAGAAGAAGCGTTGCCATCCCCCTGAGCACCGCACCTATGAGGACTAAAATATTCGTAAACTAAATTCCTAGCCAGTGCGAAGGCACCAGTATTCCCCTCCTCGCCATGGGTTCGCCAATGAAGCCTGGAGGGGAGAGTTTGCCTTGTCCGTAGAGGGAAGGGGAGAAAACTATTGGAGAGAGTATGAGCTCACCTCTTATAGTTCTCTTTGACAATTTCAGGATCGGGGAAGGATTTATTTAAGATTTCAATTTCCCTATTTTCGGAAGTTATGTGGTGCTAGCACACATTTTGTAGTGCCTTTGGGCAATCGTGTGATTGGAAGATATTTTTGCGGGGCCTTCTAGTTTGGATAGATTTGTGTGTGTTAGCCCATGTTTTACGGTCTTCTAAGAAAAGTTTGGGCCCACAAAGGGTTTCTATCGAAAAATGAATTTCAGATATGTTTTCGCTGTTTTGTTGTTGGTTTTATGCTAGGACCATTATTTCCTTGGGCCTTTGGATTTGGCATTTCACCATCCATGTTCCATGGTGTTCTTGGAGAGTTGTTGTTCAAGAATTTTTTTTGTTCTTCCTTATTTTTTTTAGTTGTAACCATACGAAAACGTAGTTTGTGTTCGCCGATTACTTTAAGTCAAGATAGGATTTTGTCGTGTACTTCTTCGCCATGCATTCAGTGTGGGTATTTTATTGTACCATAGTTGTAGCTCTTGTTTTGTGGTGTTCTAAACAGTTAAGAGATATTAGTCATCTATTTTCAGTATTTTCACCAATTCATATCTATCAGCCCACATCCAGTCATTCTTCGATGGTTTCGAGTAAGAGAAGTTTTCTGTCTGGCCTTTTGTTTTAAATTTTTCATAATAAAAAATTGGGCACTTATTTTTTATATCCATGGGCAACTCTAATTAGAAAGAATTTACTGCAAGGTCATAAATTTTCATTGAATGCAACGTAATAAAATTAGCCCGAGAGAGTGGCCCATGAGTCACTTCGATGATAAAAATGTCAGTAGCTCCATAAATAGTGATCCTCCACACACACTAGTCGTGTTTGTACAAAACCAGCGTACAACCCACGTTTACCACACTACTGAAGGAAAGTCTACCCGTGGCATGCCCAATGTGCCTATTAGTAGGGGGGACGCCACTAGTATAGTGTCACTGGTAAGAACTTACTAGTAGCGTGCCCTTTAGAACACACGCCACTGATATTTTGGCAAGTTACCAATGGTGCGTGCCATTTAGTGTGTATCACTAATAGCTTTATCTATAAGGGTTTCTGTAGTAGGCGGCTAGGGAAAACTCTCCCCTCCAGATTTCAGCAGCGAGCCCATGGATTCGGCTCCCCTATGCCTGTCGCTCCAGCAGCCGGTGGCGAGGAGGGGAATCCTGGTGCCTCTCTAGTTAGTAGTTTAGGTTAGTTTTTTTAGGTCCTCGCAGGTTAGGCTCAGGTGGTTGGCGGCGCTTCATCTTCGAGTTGGTCTTTCAGGCTTCGATCCTCCTTGAGTTCGTCCTTCGGGTTCCAATCCTCCTTGATTTTGTCCGTCCGAGCGTAGTCAACGGAGCTCCGACGTAGATTCCTACGATCTCCTTGAGGCGGTGATGTTAGGGTATCTCGTCATGTGGCGAGATTTGGTGTCAGGTGCTTCAGATCTGTGGAAGGTTTCAACGGCCACGACTGTGGCTCCAGTGCGCTGGTCCTTAGAGGCACGCGCGCGAATACTTCTCGACTGTCATCAATAACGTCAAGCCGACTCCGGTAGGGGAGCAGGGACAACGGCATGTCGGCGGCTCGTTCTCGGCGTGGTCATTCAGTGGTCTTAAAATCTCGATGTAATTTTTATACTTTAAGCAAACTTTTATAATATATGTATCTGATGCTTTTCACAAAAAAAAAATTGTTACCGGTCTGGATCAACCCCAGGTAGGATGGAGCCTAAAACTGTGGAGTGAACGTATTTTTCGTGTGTGCTCTACACGGGGATAGACACAAAAAACAGTTCTAATTCAGACAGGCCTTATGGGAAAGCCCGTCAAAGTAGTACTAACTCAGGTCCATAATAAGTGTCGTAGTTTTGAACTAACCGCGGTTCAAAACAGTGACATTTATTTTGGATCAAAGGGAGTACTAGTTTAGAGGAGGAAATAAAGCCTTTTCATATAAAAGACCAATTGATGTGCTCGTCAAAACTAGATCAAGTGCACTGCAGACCCTGGAATAATGTGGCCGAATCTTGGAAGGGTCAATCGATTGTGTCCATGTTTAGTCGTCACTAGCAAGCCGGTTGGCATTAGACTGTCAGTATTACTGTAGCTGCGATCATGTTTATAATAAACTGGGCCCGAGCACCTCGGATGCCTTTTCATATTCATGACATGTTGATCAACTGGGAGTTTATGATCTTCTCCTTCGGATGGAGCAAATAATGACAAGAATCACATGTCAAGCTGGGCAATCAAGCCAGATTCGAAGGGGACACCCTACCACCTGGGTCCCCTCACCTGGATAGATAGTCATTAGCTAGATTGCACAGTGACCAGTTAAGATCAAGTATTCCAGAAACTTTGCCCACAAGGAACAAGTACTACTAAGCCCAGGCTTAATAAAATGTCCCTCTTCCTCTCGAAATTTTGTCCAGTAAAACAATCACTATACTCCAACTCAACCTAGCTAGCTGACAGAAAATAACACTGTAGGTGCCCAATTGTCTATCAATTTCTGAATTGAAATCAGACAAGCAAACAACAGTAGCCAGCCTGAACTGCACACTATCTTGTACTGGTACTCCTTAAGTTGTTATCAATGCAAGCTAGTCATACAGACGTGCTCATCTCCCTTTCTTCAGCTTCCCAGCTCACTGCTCTCTCCTCTCCAACTCCAATCATCCTAGCTCGCAAGCTACGAGGGGAGGCTCTCATTTGTGCAGATCTGGATAGCAAAATCTGGAAGCAATCAATGGATCAATTAGCCAAGCGCAGAGGCATCCCAGCTTGGGCGGCGGCGTACACCAGCGATCCGTCCTCGTCCTCGTGGGAGGAGCAGGCCTTCGCACGCGATGCCGCGGCCGACCTGCTGGTGTGGCCGCCGCGCTCCTACTCCTGCACCTTCTGCCGCCGCGAGTTCCGCTCGGCCCAGGCGCTCGGCGGCCACATGAATGTGCACCGCCGAGACAGGGCACGTCTCCGTCATGGCGACGACGACCAACCCCAACAAGAACAAGCTGATGAACCGCACCAGGACGACTCTACCAGTGCCATGTGCAAGCAGCTAGAGCTATTCCGTAACCCTAGTACCACCACTCCTTCTTCCCACCTATCAACCATCATCAAGGAGAGGAATAACAACAGGGTCGTCGTCTCCATAGCAGTGAGAGATCAAGAAGCTCCAGATCACCAGTACGATGACAGACAGGATTTGGAATTGTCGGGGAGGAGGAAGAGGAGGCGTGTAGATCAGGCGCCGGTGGCGCTTGCCTCGCCATATGAACAAGGAGCCTTCCTTGATCATTCCAAGGTAATTATGAAAACAATTGCAAACCCTAGTAGTTCTAGTCTTAATCCCCATTTGGATCAAGGAGAAGTAGATCTGTTCCTCAAGAAACAAGGACTGGTAGATCTAGAGCTTAGGCTTGGGACTAATCCAAATGTTGCATCACACGCAACTTAGTTTCTCGAATGCAAAAATTGAAATCGATGAATTTTTTTTCACTCTTGTGCTTGATGCAACTTTGTTTCTAGCTCGTTAAATTTGCTTCCATCTCCTTTCGCAAAAAATATTTAAAAAAAATCAAAAATTGCTTCTGTCTCTTTATAATTGCTTTGTTCATTGTTTCTCTTCGATCAATTCTTCGTTGTTGGCCAAGGGCTCGTTCTACATGATGATGTATATATCTCCTTCGTTTCAGCTGTTGAAATGTATATGTGCTAGAGTTTTATAAGAAATTATGTACATGTAGTTGTTTGTTCTGAAGTCTTGTATCATGTTGATGCGTAAATTGTTAGCAATTAGTGATCAGTGGCAGAAAATTTGGAAGTGATTGCCATTTTTCTTTATCTTTACTTCATGTCTTCAAGCTAAACAAAACCTCTAATTTTTGGGTATATATGAGTGAACAAATTAGAACTGATTGTACATCATCAAGAAAAGAGGTGGCAACATCGATCCTCGCCACTTCTCTCCACTAGCACCGTTCTAATCAAGTAGATGTTTGCCTTTGCCAAATGAAACAATGAATGGCTGGATGAAAATCGCCAACTCTATAGTGATTTATTGCCTACTTCGAATATAACCCAAATCAAAGAGGTTGTCAAGGAGAGATAAGGTAAAGTGATTGCCCCAAGAACTTAAATGACATTCGTCAAACGAATCCAAGAATGGGTAAATACCTCAAATGGAGCACCATCTTTGAGATACTAAATGTCTGAAGTAACTACTCTCTTCGTTCCGAATTATAAGATGTTTTGGATATTTTAGTATGGACTAAAATGAGTGAATCTATACACCTAACATGTCTAGATACATTCAATTTAGAATAAAGCTAGAACATCTTATACTTCGGAACGGAGGGGGTACAACTACATCTAAATCCCAAGAAAAAACTCAATAATTGTACCCTTGTGTGTGCGCCGACATGTATCTCCTTATTAGTTTGAGTCATTTCATAAATGTCATTGTCATCTTCATCTATAAAAATTTGGAAATGAAAATAACTTACAAAAAATGCCACCTACTTGGCCTTTTTTTTGTAGTGATTCCAAGTCATTCTTTTGCAGTGGTAATTTCAAGTCTGCAAGACGGGTAGTGGCATATATTGAATTAATCCGTTAGTTACTGACAAATTTTCGCTTATCCAAGACAACAAAAGTAGACACTGCTAATGAACATGACAAACCGCCGAACTAATCATCTGCTCCTGCCTTATGCTCAATTGTGGCAGCAACTCTTATGGTCATGCATCCTTATAATGTGTATACATACTGTATCAAGAACTCAAGTTCATCTACAAACTGGTATATTACCTAACTTGAGCATTTGTATGTTCCTTTTTGTGAGATATTTTGCATTGTTAAACAATTGTCATGCTAACATTTTTTATGTGATACAAATCACTATCATAAATAAGTAATACAAATGTAATGAAATCAATTTCATGTTATAGATTGCATTGACTATTTGTCGTCAAATTATTTTTATAGACAATTAAAATAGGTAATACAAAAGAAACAAAGAGGGTACTTTATTAGAAAAGTAGTGGCTGCACTTTGAGTATATGGAAATTTCTTCATGAATTAATTAATATTTTTTATATCACAAACATTCCCAAAATAAATAGAGGTACCCACTCTAGCTGCGATAATTGGTTGCAATATATTCCAATGTGATTTAGTTGTACGGAACATGGACATTGAGATTGATAATATGAGAAATGAAACTTAAAATACATAATTTTTATCATATTTGATTATTGTATAGGTGTAAAATATTTATTGAGAAATATTAAAATACATATGATCTATTGTATTTGAATATTGTATGGAGGTAGAATATTTATAGAATTTAAATAGCACAATGGAACGGAAACAACCGGGTTAGCATTTTCCCATATGTGGTGATTGGCCTTTTCCATGCATAGTTGTATGTGGAGGTGACATGTCAAGAGAAATATGTTAGTGTGGATCAGCTATTTAGTTACACAACATGAAGTTTCTTCACGAATTGATCTCTGTACACCAAAAATATAAATTCCCAGAATAAATAGTTGAGCACTAATATTATTGTGTGTGTGTGTGTGTGTGTGTGTGTGTGTGTGTGTGTGTGTGTGTTTACAAAGTAACTCTGATCAATAATTTGTTCTACAGTACTCTCTCTGTAAACAAATATAAGAGCGTTTAGATCACTACTTTAGTGATGTAAACGCTTTTATATTTTTTTACGGGGGGAGTACATGCATAAAACCAAGAGAAATCGATGTTCAGGAAAATAGAATTTTATAGATATATTTGAAGTACAGTATATGTAGATTAGTAGGTATCTAAATCCACGGTAATATATATTTTACCAGTTCAAGCAAAGATATGTCTAACATATCATTATTCTTATTATAATCGAAGTGAGTAGATACATAGAGAGACAAGACAGACACCAATGCTGCCATTGCTTTGTCATTAGTAATGGATTGATGGAGAGGTGATGAATACGAAAAGGTCACAAGCGGCCATAGGTACGACTGTCCGATGCATGATACGCTACTGACACATTCCAGCACATGCATGCATACAGACGTCAATAAGCAACACATGGATGGAATAATTCAACTCAGAACACTGTCCGTCGATCAGTGCATGTGCTTGCACCCCCGGGCCACCCTGCTTCATTTGGGCATATATGCGTGCGTGCAGCTCGATCCTGATTCTTCGTCATGATCGGCATTATGCCATTACGTATGATCGGTTTCTCTCACAGTTTCCGTCGACAATATTATCAATGCTCATGTAGATCAAAACCCTATTAAAATAGTTGAATAAACTGTAGTTTATGACTTTATGTATATGCATTTGATCGTTTAGCTCCCCGAATAAGCAAACATACATATTTACTAATACTGTATGCCTTCAGCTGGCTCCGTCACCGATCTTGTTGAATCGGTAATACGGAAGGGAAATAATAATCTCTCGTAGCTAGCGTAGGAGTATACAGTCTATGCGTCGTGGTACGTGCTAGCAGATATGGTCAGTCATACACATTTGCAAATATTTTATGCATACAGGCATGGTCCCCTGTTGGGCTACATAGCTGCATATATACATATATACTGTGCACTGTAACTGGTGCATAAACTGTGCGTATGTTATGTGTGGAGTCATTGATCGAACCCTACGATATATAATGTTACCATACACGCACCATATGCACGCATATTTGACATTCCATTCTCCATTTTACTGAATATCAATATATGCTAGGTCGCGAAAAGTCTGTTGTTATCTTCTAGCAAGATCAGTACACGCATAGACAACCACTTTGCTAGTTTGATTTCCATTAAAAAGCTGTCGATGAGCGTGGCAATAACGTGAAGGAGAACAAGGAAGAAGAGGACGACGTCTTGGTCGGACTTGGCAGCCCATATCGATAAAAAAAAACTTGGCGGCTCATATTATACATTTCACGTGTTAGCAGCGCATGCAGCCCAGAGTAGGGCGTTTTGGTGACCGGGCTTCATGAAGGCCGAAAATTTTGAAAAAAAGATTCAAACTTCCTAGTTTAATTTTTTTTGAAAAAACATGTATGTATATATGGATGAAATGTATGTGCGTGTAAAAATTCACGGTGAAATACCTTGAATGTGACCTATAGAAAAGAAAACAAATTCATGGACTTTGGGGATGAACAATATCTTGTGCTGAAAAGCCACGGATTTGTTTTTTTAGCTCCCATTTCAATGTATTTTATCATGAAAATTTACACACATGTACATTATGCCTTCATTTATATTCGTATTTTACTTCAGAATGTTTTGAAACATAAAAAACTGAATTTTGAATTTTTCAAAAACTGCCTTCATGAAGCTCGGCCTCCAAAAAGCAATTTTGGATGCAGCCCACTTCATCCATGAAAAGCTGCTATTTCCTTTTATTTTATCCACGTAGAATTAAATAATTTCCTGAAAAACATTACAAAAAATAGTAGCCCTAAAAACATACAAGGAAATAGCAGACATACTGCATAGTGATAAATTATATATTTTCCAGAAAATAGCGAGAAATTATATAGTAGACACAACTGGTTCTACTTTCTCTCAAAACAAATAAACACAACTTGGTCCTTATTACTGCAAATCTACTACCTCCTCCATCTCAAATAAGTGTCTTTGATTCAATACAACTTTGTACTAAAGTTGTACTAAATCAAAGACACTTGGGGCATGAAGAAGAACGGGAAGGAGAAGAAGAATCGATGAACTTTTCCCTACTGAGCCATTTGACTATTATATTTTCTCTGATATTTGTTAGTGGTTAAGATGAACTGTGATTTATTTCCTAACCAAGACTTAAACTGTTTTCAGATCGTATGTGGTAAGGTCATCACTAGTGGAAAGTGGTGATAACACCTTATGTAGTTTGCAACCAAATAGCGTGTAGTTCGTGCGCCCAGTGCAACATAGGCAATCAAACAGCGGGTCAATATTACTTTCCTCATGCAGCCAACGTACATCCAAGCAACCAAACTATGTGTAGATGATGGTTTTTGGCATGTTTTACCTCAGCCAGGCCCATCTGAGATACACATGCAAAGAGACAAAAAATGATAGAGGCAACCAAACACACCCTAGATGCGCCGGCGCACGCAGGACCAGATCGCTCCTAACTTCTAACGAAAATGAGTACTTCGGTTTGACCTGTTCTTGCTTAATGCATGGAGAGACTGCAGGTTGGTGAGTACGCTGCCATGAACTTCCGATCACGATTTTGCGACCACGTGGATGGTAAGTAACCCAAACTTATTTATGAAACAAGGATCACGATTTTCTATGAGTTTTTTGGTGAATATGTGCTGCACTCGTGGCTTAGGTGTTCCAATCTCACAAAATTCAAATTTTGAAGTATAAAAGTTTTTGAAAACAATTATGGATGTTCACAAGATAAGTGTGTGCCACCCTAAAAAAATTC